CGACGCAAAAGCGTGCGCCGAAACGCTCGGGGTCCGCTACGATATCGTGCCGATCGGCGCCCCGGTCGACGCGGTCAATGAAAATCTTGCGAAAGTATTCGAGGGCCGCGCTCCCGATATCACCGAGGAAAACCTTCAATCGCGCATGCGCGGCACCATTTTGATGGCGGTCTCCAACAAGTTGGGCTCGCTGCTGATTACCACGGGCAACAAGTCCGAGATGGCGGTTGGCTACGCCACGATCTACGGCGACATGAACGGCGCCTACAACCCGATCAAGGACATGCTCAAGATGCAGGTCTATGGGCTGGCCGAATGGCGCAATTCCTACTATCCGACCGACGTGCGCGGACCAGCGGGCGTGGTCATCCCCCCCGAGATTATTTCCAAGGCGCCAAGCGCCGAATTGCGGCCCGACCAGACCGATCAGGATTCCCTGCCGCCCTATCCGGTGCTCGATGCGATCATCGAGGCTCTGATCGAAGAGGAATTGTCGCTGGCCGAAATCGTTGCAAAAGGGTTCGATGCAGACCTGGTCAAACGCATCGAGCGGCTGATCTATGTCGCCGAGTTCAAGAGGCGCCAGTCGGCCCCCGGACCCAAGCTCACGGCCAAGGCATTCGGTATTGGGCGGAAATACCCGATCACTTCGGGGTATCGTGACGGGAGCATCGCAAAATGAGTGTTGTCGTTCGCTATGCGCCCTCGCCGACGGGCCGCCTGCATTTGGGCAATGCGCGCCCGTTGATCCTCAACTGGCTGTTCGCGCGCAAGAATTCGGGCAAGTTCATCCTGCGTTTTGACGACACCGACACGGCTCGCTCGACCGAAGCGTTTGCAAAGGGCATCGAAGCCGACCTCGATTGGCTGGGCATCTTGCCCGACATCAAGGTGCGCCAGTCAGATCGGCTCGATCTCTATGATGTCGCACGCGACAGACTGATCGCCGACGGGCGGCTCTATCCGGCCTATGAAACTGCCGATGAACTTGATCGAAAGCGCAAGCGCGCCCGCGCCCTGGGCCGCCCGCCGATCTACGATCGCGCCGCGCTCGGCCTGACGGACGAGGACAAGGCGAAGTTCGAGGCCGAAGGTCGTAAGCCTCATTGGCGGTTCAGGCTCGACGGGCGCGCCGTGAACTTTGACGACCTCATCAAGGGCAATCAGACGGTCAATACCAGTTCGATGTCGGACCCCGTGGTGATCCGCGAGGACGGCAGCTATCTC